GATAATTGAAATATAATTCAGTATTATTTTTTTGCTAAGTATAATTATATAATTATATGTAAATTATTAAATATTTAAAAATAAAATTAAATACTCCTTAATATAAAAACTATTTATGTAAATCCATATCAATATATAAATAATTATAGTAGATTGTTATTGGTATGCTATTAACAACTATTAATAATAATTATTAATATTAACATCTAATTAAGGATAATAATTACAATATGTCATTATACTAATGTTTATACTTACAATAACTATATTTTTTATAATTTTTAAGTGTAAATTAATTTTAATTTATAGTTTAATGTAATTTAATAATTATTAATGGAATTAATATTGTTAATAGTGAATTATTATTAAATTAATATTATTTTATTATTTTAATTATTATATAAGTTGATTAATTTATAAGTAATTAATAAATCCAGCAATTTAAGGCAGGGAGTCTCCTGCTGCTGAGGAATTTTCCTGGAATTTTCCAACACAACTCCAAGGAAAAATTTCCCGTTATCCCAAAAAACTTCTCAATTCCCGATGGAATTCCAGAAAATAATTGGATTCCCGCCTTTTTCCAGCCGTTTTCCCTCTGTTTTCCAGCTGGATTTTGCTCTCCTTCCCTGTTTAATTTGGAAAAATGTTGGAAGCAGACAGGAACTGATTGAAATCCTGATTTTTCCAGGTTTTTCTTGGCGTTTTCCTTGGATTTATCACACGATGGCGCTCACGGACTGCGTGAGATCCTTGGGGATTTTTCCATGGAAAACAGATTTTTTCCCTGATTTTTTTTCCCGTTTTTTTTAAATCAGGAGGGGAAAGAATTCCGATTTTTCTGTGCCCCTCTCTTCATTTTCCAATCCGGAATCGATCCAGGGATTATTAGGATGGAAATTTTGGGGAAAATTATGGGTTTTCCCTCAAAACTGCCACGATCCCGCCTGGATCCTTCATTTCCACCAATCCTGAACTCAGTTTATCCAGAAATTTATGGAATTAAATCCCCAAAAAAATCAACTCATGCTTCATTCCGTGTGGAAAAGGAATTCAGGGATAATCTGGAATGATTTGTAGCTTTTTTCCAGCTGATTTTTTTTTAGGAAAAACGTTGGAATTTTCATCATCGAGAGCTGTTATGGAGCAGCTCAGATCCGATTTTATCCCGAAAAAATAAAAAACCTGGATTCAAATCCTGAATCCTGATTCCATCAGCAGTGGGATCATTCCAATCCTGCTTTTCCCAGATTTTATCCCTTGAGAGGATGAATTTTTCCCGCTTATCCCTGGGAACAAATTCCTTGAGGGTTCTGATTTTCCGGGAATTCCCGGAAAAATGCGGCGCCTTTTTCACTTTGAACCCAGATATTCCTGACTTTTGGCCTCTTCCATCCCTAAAAATTTGCTGGGAATTTCAGCTCTCCTTCCTCATCCTTTCTCTGCTCTTTTGGCATTCCCGCGTTTTCCTCCTTTTTCCGGGAATTATTCCCGGCCTCGGTGGGAGGAGTGAGGCGGGAATGGCGGCTGGATCGATTTCCATGGAATAATCAACAGCTGCCCGTCGGTTTCCGTAGGGAATTCCATCATTCCCGCTTTTCCAGAGGGAAAGTGGGATGTGAATTCAGCTTTTTCCCCCTTTGGAAAACAAGGATAACAAGGAATAACTTCCGTGGTTTCCGCTTGGATGGGAGCTGGATCCGGGGGTGATCACATCGTTGGATAATTCCAAGGATTTGGAATTTGTTGGGATTCTGGAGAGGGATTTAGGGTTTGGTGTTTCTGGGGCGGGGAAGAGCGGTTGGGATAGCTGGGATATTGGGAAGGAATTCCTGGCTGGGCTGGAATTCCTAGAGAATTCCCAGAAAATTCCCTGGAAGTGTCCAAGGAAAGCCTGGCATAGCAGGGATCCATCCCAAGCCAAACCCTGGGATAATCCCACGTTATGGATCGGGAATGTGCTGCTGTTTCTCCGCTCCAATGGAATCCCCACATTCCAAACGATCCCATTTTCCAAAGGCTCCTTCCGACATTAAATCCCGGCAACTTGGGCACCTCCAGGTGAAAAATTATCCGGGATACACCTTGAATATTCCCAGAAAAACTGAATTGAATGGGAAAAATTGTATTGGGAGCCATCCCAAATTCCCAAAGCACAACTCAACTGCTTGGATCCCGGAATTCCGGGTTGATCCGTATGGATTCCTGGGAGGAATTCCATCCTGCCAGGCTGCTCCGTTGGACATTCCCAGGGATCCTGGAGTTTCTCTGGGAATTCTCAAGGCCTCCCTGTCACGGGCAGGAATTTTTCCTTCACATCCGAGCAGGGAAAAGCTGAGCTTGGAATTTCTCTGGCAGGCAGCGGATTCCTGGGAGCGGCGGCAAATCCCGGAATTCCGGCGGGAAGCTCCGAAGGGATGGAGCAGCAGCAGCTGACGAAGGTTTCCCAGGAAGAGGTGAAGGAGATCCGAGAGGTAAAAATTGGGATGGAATTTCCGGATAGGAATTGTTGAATTGATTTAATTAATTTGAGAATTAATGAATTTTTAATGGAATCCATTCCATGGATTTAATTGATTGGGAATTGTTCCTTCAAATATTCCTGGAAATCCATTTCTGTGGGAATATTCAAAATATTCCTCAAGCCTGGGATGAAAATTCCAGAATCATTTATTGGTACAAGTCATATTGTTGTTGTTGTTGGTACAAGTCATATTGTTGTTGTTGTTGTTATTATTATTATTATTAATAATAATAATAATATTTCTTATATATTGTTTTTTATATTTATTATATATAATCTACAATTAAACATAATACATTTTTATTATAAATTATTAATTATTATTACTATTAATAATAAAAACATTTTCATAATACTTACATTAATAATAATATTAGTAATAGCAATAGTAATATTAATAATATAATTAATAATATGGATTATACAGTAGTATCGATAACTTCATTAATAATTAACTGTATTATAAATTTAATTATAGTATTATATAGTTGTTATTAATACATATTATGTAACATAATTACTTAATCATATATTTAATTCCATTGGAAATTATATTATTAACTAATTATATTAACTAAATACCGTTTTATGAATTATAGACGCAATTATGTGTTTTATGATTTTTTGTATTTTATATTAGATATTATTTTATATATTATTTTATATTATGCACAATTTTAGATATTAAGTACTAATAAAATTTAATGTTAAACTATTAATTAATTCAATTAAAGTATATATTAATAATATAGATATTATCATATCTGTTCCACTCCTTGAAATGTGACCTATGGAAAATCCCAATTGGAAAAAAAATTGAAAAAAATTGGAAAATAATAAATTTTAGCGTTTTCCAACTTTTTTGGGGATTTTCCCTCTCTGGTGTTTTATTCCTGAAAAATCCACCAAATATTCCAGAACCTGGAGAGATTTTGGTACAGATTTTGGTACAGAAATCCAGGTGGAATCCAAGGAATGAATGGATTTTCCCACAGATTTCGATGGGAAAAGATCACTATTCCAAGGATCCAGTGGGGTATTTTTCCATCAATGGCTTTTTAAGGAATTTCTCCTGCAGAACTTTTAGGGAAAATTCTTCGTTTGCGGTTTCTTTCCTTCTGATATTTTCTTTTTCCTGAATTTTTTATTGAGTCCCTTGCCTATGCTTTTTATTTTATTTATTTTATTTCATTTCATTTCATTTCATTTCATTTCATTTCATTTCATTTCTTGTTTCATTATTTAATTTCTTATTTCATTTTATTTTATTTTTATTTTATTCTACTTTGCTTTACTGTATTTTATTATTTTGTTTAACTTTATTTTACTTTATTTTATAATTTTATTATTTTATTTTATTTTATTTTATTTTATTTTAATTTTTATCTTACTATATTTTATTTTATATTACTTTATTTTATTTTATTTTGCTTTACTATATTTTATTATTTTATTTTACTTTATTTTATTATTTTATTTTACTTTGTTATTTTGTTTTATTTTGTTTTCTATTATAATTTTAATTTTTATTTTCAAATTTTATTTTCATGTTTCAATATTTTAATTTTTTAAAATTTATTTTATTTAATTTATTTTTCTTTTATTTTATTTTTAAATAATGGGAAAAATCTGCCTGAGGGCAGGGATGGATGGGATTTTGGGAAGGAATTCCTGGCTGGGGGGATGGAGAGGGGCTGGGATGGAATTCCCAGAGCAGCTGTGGCTGCCCCTGGATCCCTGGAAGTACCCAAGGCCGGGCTGGATGGGGCTTGGAGCATCCTGGGAGCTTCCAGAGCAGCAATTCCTGGGATTCCCTCTGTGACAGAGCAGGAATTCCCGGGATTCCCTCTGTGACAGAGCAGGAATTCCCAGGATTCTCTCTATGACAGGGCAGGAATTCCCAGGATTTCCTCTGTGACAGGACAGGAATTCCCAGGATTCCCTCTTGAACAGAGCAGGAATTCCCAGGATTCCCTCTTGGAGAGAGCAGGAATTTCTGGGATTCCATCCATGACAGGACTGGAATTCCCGGCATTCCCTCTTGGACAGAGCAGGAATTCCCGGGATTCCCTCTGTGACAGGACAGGAATTCCCAGGATTCCCTCTTGAACAGAGCAGGAATTCCCAGGATTCCCTCCGTGCAGAACAGGAATTCCCAGGATTCTCTTTATGACAGGACAGGAATTCCCAGGATTCCCTCTTGGACAGAAGAGGAATTCCTGGGATTCCCTCTGTGACAGAGCAGCAATTCCCAGGATTCCCTGTTGGACAGAGCAGATTCCCTTTTCAACAGAGAATGAATTCCTGGGATTCTGGCAGAACAGGAATTCCCGGGATTTCCTGACTCTTGCCTGTTTGGATGTGGAATCCTGTGAAAGCTCCCTTCATTCCCTCCATGGATCCACCTGGGATCCATGCCCACTGCCCACAGCACGGCACAACCCTTAAATTCCCGGGATTCCGGGATATCGATCCCGAATTATCCCGCAGCCCTGACTGGGATCTCTCCGTGTTTCCCGCAGATCCTGCAGCAGCTCAAGGGCCTGGCCCTGGAGACGGAGGCGGAGCTGGAAAGGCAGGACGAGGCCCTGGATTCCATCGGCAGCTCCGTGGATCGCGCCACGCTCGGCATCGAGCGCCAGAACCGCCGCATCCGGAGGCTGACGTAACTTCCCGGCCGGAACGGCGACACCGGGAAGAGCGGGAGGATGAGGGAGAGCCGGGATTTTTGGGATTTGTTTTTCCAGAGACGCTTTAGGAAGGGGTTTGGGATGAGGTTTGGAAAATGGCACTGCTGGGGGTGAGTTCCGGTGAGGATCGAAACAGCTCCTGGACTTGGATGAGGTTTGGAACATGGATGGTTGCAACTTGGATCATGGATGGATCTTGGATCGTTGGACCTTGGATGAGGTTTGGACCTTGGATGAGGTTTGGAACTTGGATGGTTGGAACTTGGATCATGGATGGATCTTGGATGGTTGGACCTTGGATGAGGTTGGATCTTGGATGAGGTTTGGATTTTGGATGAGGTTTGGATTTTGGATGAGGTTTGGATTTTAGATGAGGTTTGGATTTTGGATGAGGTTTGGATTTTGGATGGTTGGAACTTGGATCATGGTTGGATCTTGGGTTTGGATTTTGGATGAGGTTGGATCTTGGATGAGGTTTGGATTTTGGATGAGGTTTGGATTTTGGATGAGGTTTGGATTTTGGATGGTTGGAACTTGGATCATGGTTGGATCTTGGATCATGTTTGGATCTTGGATGGTTGGATTCTGGATGAGGTTGGATCTTGGATGAGGTTTCAATTTTGGGTGGTTGGAATTTGGATGGTTGTATGTCGGATGGTTGGACCTTGGGTGAGGTTGGCTCTTGGATGAGGTTTGGATTTTGGTTGGAATTTGGATGGTTGTATGTCGGATGGTTGGACCTTGGGTGAGGTTGGCTCTTGGATGAGGTTTGGATTTTGGATGAGGTTTGGATTTTGGATGGTGGTTGGATCTCAGATCACAGTTGGATCTTGGATGAAGTTGGATCTTAAATCACATTTGGATCTTGGATGAGGTTTCGCTCTTGAATGAGGTTTGGGTTTTGGATGAGGTTTGGATCTTGGATGGTTGGATCTTGGATCACATTTGGATCTTGGATGAGGTTTGGATCTTGGATGGTTGGAACTTGGATCATGGTTGGATCTTGGATCACATTTGGATCTTGGATGGCTGGATCTTGGATGAGGTTGGATCTTGGGTGAGGTTTGGATCTTGAATGGTTGAAACTTGGATCATGGTTGGACCTTAGCTGAGGTTGGATCTTGGATGAGATTTGGATCATGGTTGGATCTTGGATCACGTTTAGGTCTTGGATGAGGCTGCAATTTTGGATGGTTGGAATTTGGATGGTTGTATGTTGGGTGGTTGGACCTTGGATGAGGTTGGATCTTGAATGGTTGGAACTTGGATCATGGTTGGATCTTGGATCACGTCTGGATCTTGGATAGCTGGATCTTGGATGAGGTTGGATCTTGGATGAAATTGGACCTTGGATGAGTTTGGACCTTGGGTGAGGTTTGGATCTTGGATGGTTGGAACTTGGATCATGGTTGGATCTTGGATGGCTGGAACTTGGCTGAGGTTGGACCTTGGCTGAGGTTGGATCTTGGATCACATTTGGACCTTGGATGAGGTTTCAGTTTTGGATGGTTGGATCTTGGATGAGGTTTGGACCTTGGATGGTTGATCTTAGATCATGGATGGATCTTGGCTCATGGGTGGATCTTGGATGAGGTTTGGAGCTTGGATGAGGTTTGGATCTTGGATCACATTTGGACCTTTGATGGTTGGATCTTGGATGGCTGGACCTTGGCTGAGGTGGGATCTTGGATCACATTTGGATCTTAGATGAGGTTTCAGTTTTGGATGGGTGGATCTTGGATGAGGTTTGGACCTTGGATGAGGTTTGGACCTTGGATGGTTGGGTTTTGGCTGAAGTTTGGACCTTGGATCACGTTGGGCCCTTGGCTGAGGTTCAGGAGCTTTTTTTGGCTACAAAGATCCGAATTTCCGATGG